AGGTCGTAAATATTAATTCTTTATCTACATACCATTAACGCAGTATCGATCAGGAAACGTTTAAACTAGAAAAAAATAAAGTGTAACTATAAAATGCCCTATACAAACTTATTTGTAAAGCTGTACTTGTTAATATGGTAACAGAAGTAACCGAATGACAAGATAAGTCAAGTACAGCAATATTACCTGCCCTTCATCGCATTCGTCGGGTCTATCATTATGGATTGCCATCTGATATTTCTGATATATTTCGTGCGATTTTTTAAACGTTAGCTGAAATTGAGGAAGGCTTCGATCTGCTAATACAAGTTTAACCTGTATAACAGCAATAAAACAAGCAGATCTTAGTAGAGGAATTATAGAGTGTAATGTTACAGTAATGCAATAAAAAAGTTTAAAATTAATCAATAATGAATACATATGACCTCTAACTTATGACCAGGGGTTAAAGTAGGCGCCATTTGCTTAAAAAGTTCGTCCAATATCTGTACGCGTTTCTGTATGTTTTCTTTCACTTCTTTCTCCTTTGCTTCCTCAATGTGCTTCTTTATTTGTTCCGTGGTCTGAAGTGGTACGATAAAATTACCCAGCGGTCATTATGTAGAAAATTTAAATTATGACGAAGGTAGTATTAAAATTTTTACAATCTATTTCAAAGTGCGGCTTAGCTAACATTCCAGTATGATTCCCATTACTAAATTTACCATGTCTGACTCTCTTGAGAGCTTTTCCAATTTTTTCTCTCTCCTAATATCCTTCGCCTTTCTACGCTTGGGCTTGGTTGGATCTGGCCCTCGGGAAGTAGCTAAAAAGTGGCGATATTGGTATGAAAATAAAATTCGTATTTAACCTTATGAAAAATAGTCAAAACTAATAAAATTAAATAGTCATAGCATTGACACGAAACCTTTTGCTTCCACATTGTTTTGGTGTAAGACTGACGCATCTCTAATAAAGCGTGGAGAATATTTCGGCATTAGGGCAGAATTATGTTATGTTTAATTAAATCATAGTAGTGATTACACTTCTCAAAATATTAAGAGTTTTATAAATTTAGTCGCAATAAAGCTTTTTTCCAATGTTTTTACATCAAATCAATATACTACATGATACAGTGACTTACCGCTGATTTTTGCCTTTTTCTCCATCAATCGATTTTTTTACATTGTCATTATGAGATTTAGTATCGATTTGCTGAGTATCATTTCCTTCTTCATGTTTTCTTTTCAGTTCTAATAAATAAATATCGAGTAAAAATGATACGCATTATGCACCATTGAGTATAGATAGCTGTAAAACATTAATGATTTGATGCATTAATGATTCATCAGTTAAAACTGATTGATGAAAAATGGTTCTGCAGTTATATACTTCGAAGCATAAAATAAACTGCCTATGGATCAATTGAATATAAATCACTATCATATCAACAGTACTTATACAGCAATACGTATACGAAAATGTTTGTATATAGAACTGAGCTTAGCGCAAAGTGGATTCTACGACACAGCCTCCTTAACCCAAAACTATCCAATGGCAGGCGATATTTGCTTATTTTCGTGAAATATTAAGAATAGTCGTATAGCTACTGGCATTGATGGTACTGTAAATATTACCTTCCAGTGTGGTGTTCCCTTGCAAATAATTCATCACTTTCTTAATAACCTTTCTATGTGATTTGGAAATGACGCACTCTAACGCTTCAATTCTATTTAATATTGATTAAAGTATTTAAATAAATATAAGTAACTCTTTTAAGAAACTCCAGACATAAGCTAGGATCAACACAACCAAAAAGACGTGCATTAAGCCAGAAGAAGTAAAGTGTTAATTGGCATTCAAAACATTACCATATTATTAAAATGTAACACTTCAACTTGTATCTTAATTTATATTTATAAGCATTTGATGATCGTTTACCTGATTGTATATAAAGGACAGCAAGATTTTTGTAAATCAGGCTTGTATATGAATTTACCGCACCTATTTATGAGACATACAATAAGAATTAGATTATTACTACGTAATTCCTATCAACCTACTGCTACGACGCAAGGCAAATCTTTACTTTCTAAATTAATCATAAGTATAGTAAAGGTCATCGTTCTTGCGTAGTTACAAGGAGTAGTAACGGCTGCAAATCAGAGTGCGATGATATATTCAGCAGCTAAAGATATGACCATTGTCGTGATACTGTATATCACTACGCAATCTTGAATGTAAATTAAGTTAACTAATCCTGGAAAACGTAAGGATCTGAAAGAGTAAACAACTTTCTTTTTTAACTATCACATCGTTTGTCTGATGATACTCGATGCAAAGTTACCTTCTCCATCCGCGATCCATTAAAATTTGATAATCAGATACACGTAATCGGTGGCCCCAAATTCCTAAAAAGTCAAGAAAACCTTTCACTTATCATGTAGCAGATATCAAACAAAGATAACGGCGAAGAAATTGAATATGCGTCAATGATCTGTTAAATAGAAAGGAAAACAACATGACTGTGATCGTCGCAATAGAGTGTAAATCAGATTAAGACTGTTTCATTCTATTGCCCTTGAAATACTACCACCGCTTTATTTGAATGAACTGTAAGGATATTACTGGTACAAGTGATAACAAGTAATGTTACGACGTGTTCATAGAATATGTGAAGAAAATTCACATTAAAAACGGCCCGTGCAATAACGGAAATCAATAATATTGATGATTATTTCTTAGTAGAAGTAAAATTATTATCTTGGCATCATCACTTTTCAGCAGTCATTTAGAGCAGGATTAGTTTTTAAGAATGAAGTTGTCGAGTAGTTTCAACTTCGACGTCTTTTTGCCATGATGAAAGAGCGACATTAAAATGGATGCAGTACAACCTAGTCATAGTGTAGAAAGTGCTACAAAATGTTCATGAAAGCGTCCAGCAGTATTGTTCAAAATCAATGGGGTTAATCTATCCAAGGCACTCCAGTCATTGTAGACTGTTTAAGACCGATATTTAAAAAGAATACTTCTTGACTTTTCCATCTGGATTGAGATTGTATTTTTCCCATGAAGTGACTGCACTATTTCGCTTTAGGCACCTCTTCAATCTAGTTTCAAAGGATCAATTTAAGCAGAATCATCATGTACAAGACTTTGTGAATCTGCAAAGCACTGTGAACAATGTACTATAATCATATCAATCTTTCTTGGATGACCAAACCTCCACGGTTCTGTCGATGGCCATTTTATCATCATTACCCCTATCGATAGACAATTTCTATTTCATTTTGGGATATTCAGAGACAATTGAAACTTTCTATGTTCAAACTTTTGTGAGTCATTAAAGTATGAGCAATACAGTAGTCTACGGTCGAATTCACGTACTAGGAAGTAATCGCTAAGGCACTTTAACTAATTATGCCCTTCAAGTTAATTCAAATCCATATCCAGGCGAGCGTTTCAACCTTGCGAGTGTCCAGGTCATCCATTAAACAAGTATATAGAGATTTCAAAATATTGACAAACTAATTGGAATCCGCTGAATGATGAGAATGGTGATCAAAACCAACTCAACTGCTATCCACTCCAGTCAGGAGTAGAAGGGTTTCAGTGAACGCAAGGACCAGTCGAATCAGCGACTGGCTATAAATCATTTTGTGACACTGGCATTGATGCATACTGTACATTGTAACATCTCCAAAGCCTAACTAGAAGATGGCTATCGATTGGATTGACACTTTTCTATACGTAGAAATGGATTCTTTCTTCAATCTACGTTGATACAGGCCATTTTTTGCTGCAAGATTCTTCCTCACCATGGTTACTGGTGAACGGTAACGTCGACACGTCACTCTCACTTTCGTGAACACGATTGGAGAGTACGACAATTTTGGAGGACGACGTCATCGATGAGTGTCAGGTTGATTGTGCATGACTACAACTGGTACCACGACCGTCAACCATGACTAAGATGTCTCTTTCTTTCTGGACGTTAAGCTAAGCCCATTTTGTAATCCATCTCCTATTCTATCAACGAGTTACTTTAACTACATGAGATAAACTAGGAAGAAAGTATTGGCAGTGTCGTTATCCATGGTGGTTTTCAGTTTTTTCATTGGCTTCGTGAGTGAAATAGATAGTGTATCGGACTGTCTACTGCACTTCGGTATACTAAGAACAACATTGACTATGAAGGGTATTTTCTATCCCTTGTTCATTGGCTATTCATTGATAGACTATTACCTGCCGCATGACGACTGCCATTTTTTCCGCAGTAACCACAATGATGAGGCTCACTGGATTGAGGTACATAACCCACAACGGAAGATGTTCTCATTGAAATCATGGCGATAATCTTGACTCGTCGAGGCTGCTCAAGTTCTGTTCAAATTGAGACAACGAACAGTAAAAACAATTTTTTTTTTTTTCACAACCCTGGTGGTAAGATTCTTATGGTCTGAAGGAATTCTACTACCGGTTTAAGGAGCTGCCAGATAATGTCCATATACCCATGCAAGTACAGGACATTGTATCGTAGTTTGCAGTGCAAAGTACGGTAGTACACTGAGTACAGTTGCGTATGATATTGTGGAGTGCCCAATGATGAGCAATCATTCCCATACAAAACTCTCTACAAACGCATAGAAACGCTGTCAATCATTCCCATATAAAACTGTATAGAAACGCATAGAAACGCTGTCAATCCTCTACGCTCAAATTTGTTACAGTACCAAGCCCTACCAGAGTGACCCGGCTGCGTTGAATCTGACTGTAGAATGACGTAAGTGAAAATTTAAAATGCAGACTTGGACTGTACTGTGTATCGTTGTACGCGTACTGTTTGTCTTACAGTACTGTATGATTAAGCAAAATGCGGTAGCTCACACGCCAGTGTACTGTGTACTGTACACTGTACAGTAAAGTACTGTACTATGGACGTTGGACATTGGACACGTCCACTTCATCAGGGAAGATAGAAGTGGTCGTCTTGGTAAACAGCAGCCCGCAGTTTTTTCTACCTTCCTGTTTGTACAAGCGCTTATTAAAAGTGTAGAAGGTGGTGATAGGCAATCGAATTTCGGTTGAAGGACAGCTGAAATAGGGATAATTGTTCCTTTTCTTCATAGAGATGCTGATAGACTATCAGAATTTTTGAACCTATAGACTACTTTCAGCAATATGGATATGTTATACATAGTAGCAGTAAGTTACAAAGGGACTGTGGCCTAATAAACAGGCAGAGCTGTAAGGCAGTATAGAGACAACTGTACTAAAAGTAAAAATGCTAGGTCAAGCCACTAAGCGAGATACGGAGAGAATGATTTACGGTTAAACATAGACAGTGAATCATTGTAATCTACTCCAACGCCGAATCGACACAATACTTTGGGTGGCAGAGTAGTTGGAGAGGAAAGCGCTACTTTTCACGATACCCTTTACCCGGTAAACATGAACTTACAGGTTATTGACTTCATCAATACAGAATTCACTGACAGCAATAACTATATCATATCCGCCTATTGGATACTCATCTTCCACCAACAGCAGATCAACATGATCCACTAATGGATACAATCCAATTGCTGCTCTGTACAGTTACTCAGATAACGAACGACGGAACCAACGGGTAGTACCACGGACTTCTAGATGCAATTTAGTTGTCTATGGTAGCATAGCCATGATATGAATACAGGTGATAAACTGCACCAATCTAGAAATACTGTAAATTAATAAATTAAAACCAATAACATTTTAAAATCCTTATTATTTATTGTCGCTAATTTAGTAATTATAACAGATCACTGTTGTAATTCCACATTAATTAATAAACCAATGTATTATATCCAGCCCCAAGTAACCATTCGGGTAATAAATCTTAGAACTTTATTACAACGCTGTAAACATTAATCACTTAATTGACCAGTTCATATAAAATCTGTGAATACGTTGATAATTAATTAATAAAGAACCAATAGAACCCAATGCAAGTGCCACTCTCTATATATTAATAATTTTATTATTCTCGATTAGCGAGTTAGAAATCATAATATAACTGTATTTTAAACTCGTATTAATTTATTCGTACAGTTTGCTTATGGACAATGACAGGAAAAGAGAACGATGTCTTTAGATGGATCATTTTCCAAGTTAATAGGAAGGCAACAGACAAAAGTTAAACATATGAGATTGAAATTCCCAATATGATTAGACCTCATAGGCTCATACGCGTAATCTTGCTAATATTTCAAGCGAACGTAAATTTATCACTTATATACAAAAACAAAAAGGGAAATATTATAGTACATCCTTACAAACTTGATCGATCTCTCTATTTCTATTTAGGGAGAAATAGTATAAGATAATAAAATATGCCTAGAGGTAAAGTTCTATTTTATGTCGCTGATTGGTGAATCGAGCTCAAACGTGTAAAATCACTATTAACCGGAATTTTACACGGCTGCATTTTATTGCAAAACTAGATGAATCTCTTCTACAATTTTTTTCCATTTTGTAGACTATCTATAAAGAATTAATTAGAAATACAGTGGATGATGTGATTAAGGACTAATTAATTATTATGATTTACTTGCAGCTAGTTGACTTTGCACCATTCCGAATAGAGTAGCAATGTCACAATAAAATCGAATTGAACCTGGCATGGCTCAGGGGAGGACATTACTGTAATGATATTGATAATAAAGTCTGCTCAAAAAAATATTGCGGTTTTAAATTCTGGCAACTTTCTATATTCTAACACTTGTTACAGTGCATGTGACTAGTATACAATCACTAACTAATGAGTAATCGCGTTTATCGCAAAATTTCCCCATCTAATTATATTAAGATTAATTGAAATCAATAATTAACAAATAACAATTGCAAATCGCAGGAATATGAATGCGTTAAAATCTAATATCTCAGCAAAATAATTTCATTCGGATAGGGCAAAAGTACTGATGCGTGTACAATATCAAGGTCGTGTTTTACATTTACTATTACGTGGCCAAGATACTTTCCCATTTCTCAAATCAATACTATAATGGCAGGTACTATCGATGTAGCTACCTCTAACTTATCTTCTTATTATCAATCCTTGGACATAAGTCAACAGTTTCAATATGATCGGAAATTAACTCCAAGTAAGGAGGAACGTCTGCCTGATCCTTTTACCTTAAAGAATTGGAAACGCGATATCAACCTGCTACCTAATGTAGCATGGCTTGATATCTATAAATACCTTGTAGATACTACAAGTGAATTTACGCAAGATACTGTCAAAGCATACAAATCTCTAAAAGCGTATAGTTACTTCCTTTGTGGACATGTACAGGACATCTATTACCATGACATCGAAGTAGAATGTCAATTCTGCTTTGTGAAATCAAAGGTACTAACGTATAATGTTTTCTTTTTTGTCCTGGCTTACGCATACTACTTTACTTTGTATAAATAATTTCATCAATTTGTTTAAATCAATAAAAAGATTCTGTCCAGTACACTGCAAGGTAAAAAAGCAGAATTCTACCACGCCTGGATATGTACTAACAAAAAATCAGGATCAATATTAACTGCAAATTGTACTTGTAAATCCGGGTAAGTAATTATATCAGGTTTTACTATCTACATACTAATAAGTGCTTCGAAATAGACATTAGGTATAGGTGTAATGTGATTGAAATTTTGCTAGTCGATTTTTATCTCTTTCTGCCGAGAAAGTTTGCAAAGTTAGGAATATCAAACAATTTTCATTTCAAAAGCTATTACAGAGTCGGAAATGCTTAGTTTGCGCTACTTATAAATTCTGTCTTTATTTATGACAGTAGATACTGCAGTACCTACAGCATCGTATGTCTGTTGTATTCCAGAACATGTGACGACATAAGCTTAAAACCCCTTTTCAAAAGACTCGAAATTAAACTAAATTAGCCGTATATATGCTGCTTATCTAGTCCAATTGCTACCACCTTACAGTCATTACTAACTAAATCTATGGACAACTGTGGTATAGAATAATTTCTCACTCAATTTATGATCTAAATGAAGATCATTTTCAGTCATTGCACTATTAGCGACAATCAAATTAATTATTAGCTGCAGTGATTAGTTCCATTTTAGAATTATTTAAATGAGCAAGAATACTGTTTTCTAGATATATTCAATATTTCGACTAGCGATGACAGTGAATAAACTATACTGTAAATCACTTGTTTCGTAGATATCGATGATATTTCTGGAGAATAATATAGGAGACTTTTACATAATTTAGCCCTTGACGATCCCAGATCGGATCGAATTCCATTGACAAGTAAATATTCATCATGTAAATATGCGTCCATCTAGTTGCAGAATGGTAATGCTTTACTTCCATGCATATTATCTAAAAATGTCTTAAGTCTTTATCTGAAAGGATAAATTTTTATCCGTCTAAAAATTGGGTAACTAAAAACATGAGCTATGTCAGTAATTAATTAATATACGGCGATTAGAATAAATTTCAAGTTAAAATATCTTCAGTTGGTGCAAACTTGTACTAGTTACCATGCAATGAAGTCATTTTGTCTAGTACTGTAGACGATATTGAGACATTCTAATCTCTAAGAAGAAGAAAGCTGTGGACGATACCTAGATTAATATTAAAATTTCAACTAAATTGCAGTTTTAGTCACGCCAATATTCCTTATTTTTAGGTTTTAAACCACGCCAGATCTCATTTATAAATTATAAACAGTAAAATTTTGATATGTCAACCTAGCATAATTAGAAAGATATAATTATATCATTTTTTTACCTCGATTACTTCACGATAAACTATACAAATTTCACGGACCCTAACATCATCACAAAACTATAATATACAAGCTTTAGCATATTATATTAAAATAATTCTTTATAATTGCTTTAGCTACTGTTAAATAGCTGAAAAAATTAGTTAATAGCCATGCTCCGATTGATCTCTCCCATATTCTTTGCGATATAATGTAACGACGATAAGTAAATCCTTGTTGAGAACTAAACCAAAAAATTGAAATTCTTACCTTATTGTATAACCAGCTTAGGGTCTGCATGTGATCATGTAGCCGCTGTCTTATTCAAATTACTAGCATACTTTCAGTTGGAACTTCATACAACTACATCGTCGAGCAAATTAAGTACCTGGAATCAATCTAAAACGCATACATCGCCACGACCTCTCAAAAAGATTTGCTTTAAGAGACCTAAGCGTAGCGATTTACTACCTTACAGCACCCATACAGATGGTGTTAAAGATACGAAAATGAATATTAGCTACGCAGATCCAACAGCTGGTGCAGCAGGTATATCAGAAATCCAGCTAACCGCTTTAAAAGTAGCTGCTCCAAATGCTGCTATTTTTACAAGTTTTACGACGAATAGAGTCCATTTTGGCATTCCTAATGGATCGCAAGGTAATCGAATTATCCAGCATGACTGGAGCTCTATTCCAAGGCCGATAACAAGTTTATACGATCCAGAAAAAGCAAAATTAAACTCTCGAGATCTTCGAACAATAAGCTATCAGGCTTTTGAAGAATATAAAAAATTATATACGCAAAATTCTTATGATAAGCTATGCGCAGTAACAGTCTTCCCCAAGCGATCACCTTTGTGGAAGGTTCACTGTGCTGGTCGAATTATCGCTTCCATGTTTCATCGCATTGCTCATTCCATAAATAATCCAAATAGAGCTTTAATTAAATGTATAATGCAGTATAAGCTCGAATATGATGGTGCAGCAGTTATTTACAGTAAGCAAATGACAGACAGCGCGTTAAATTGCTACCTAGCTACCATGCGTAAAAGTCATGGCAATTTTACGCTTAAAGCGACAGGTCTACACATCAATTCTAAATTTCCTCAATTTGCAGCCTCACCAGATGGTATTATCCATTGCGAATGTCATGGTAAAGGTGCTTTAGAAGTTATCTGCCCTTATAAATATAAGGAAGGCTTAACTAATTGGTATAAGGATAAAGATTGCCCAATATCCGAAAGCAAGTTACTGAAAGAGAATCATCCATATTTTTATCAAGTTCAAGGATTGCTGTTAGTTTGCGAGTTGGACTATTGTGATTTTTTCATATGGACACAAGGTAACAATGCTGGAGATAAAATTATAATAAGAGTTTGGAGGAACGATGGATTTATTGAAAAGTTATTACCTAGTTTAAATCAAGTGTTTAAGAATGCTATTTTACCAGAAATCGTAAGTCGAAAGCAAGATAGGAAATCCTCTTAATTGAACAAGTGTTCGCTGCCTTCTTTATCTATCTTCAAGCTAAAGGATTACCTTTAACTGTTACAAATTAAACTATTATCATTTATTTCATACGAATATAAAATATTAATGCTGGAGGAATAATATTAAGGTTTGCAGTAGTGATAACTTTATTGAAAAGTCATGACTTACAGTAATTTAAATCTATTATTTAAGAATGCTATTTTATCAGAAATTACAAGTCTAAAGCAAGAAAGAAAATCCCTGCTTCCTAAGTAGTTGTTCGTAACTTTGAATATCAACCTTCAAATACATCCAATTCAAATATGACTGCTAGTTTGTGGATGGGTGTAATTATTTCAACTATTTTCATATGGACTCAAGATGCCAATATTGGAGAGCAAAATCCGTCGAATAAGTATTTAAAGAAATAAGAACTTTACTTGAAAAGCTAATGCCTGCAATAATTTTAAATCAGGTAAATAAAGAGTGCTATTTTACCAAAAAAGGTTCAATAGAAACAAGTAAGAAAATCTTGTTAATTAAAGAAGTGTTTGTTACCTTGGTTATCAACTTCATGTGCACCCTACTATAAAATATTAAATTTCTCTTTCCAATAAGAATTTATTAATTGTTCAATGTTATCTCTGATTATGATTGTTATTTATTGCTACCTCCTCACTTCATATATACTTTTCTAGATAAATGCGTTAGCACCGATTTATATATATTGGTTATGCTGGCATCTCGTTCTATATTATATTAATAGCTACATGCGTATTTCGCTTAATTAATTCATTGCCAAAAAGTTGGTTAATAAAATTCATATTGTGTGATACATAATCTTTACTGCAGTAAAAAGTAAGAGTGCTTAAGAATTCGACTCCATTAATGGAATAGATATCAATGTATATATCTAGGTAATAATGCTGCGGTTCATGTTGACTATTCCTGCGACAGCAATCATAACATGATCTAATAACTGCACTTGTGATATAGGTATTGTAGTCTGTAATAGTTTAAATCTTTTAAGTCGACCAATAACACGCTCAACATGAATTCTAACATGGCATAATTCCCTTGACTGATCAACTTCTCTTGCTGGTAATTGCTTTTTACCTCTTATGCAGGAAGGAATTTTTAATATAGCGCCTCTTAAAGCCAATTCTTTCTTCACTAAGAATCCCTTGTCAGCAAGGATAACATCGTTTTGATTTAATTTTTCCAGAAATCCAGATCGTAATGTAATTTCATTATCGGATACTTTACCACCCCAACCTGACGATAAAAAACTAACTGCTCCTGCCGGAGTGATGCCGATTAAATATTTTATTGTATTCGAATGCCGATAGCTTGACCAAGTTTGAGCTTTAGCCGATAAGTTACTCGGTCTTTCAATTGCAATATCTGTACAGTCGATAACCGCGACACAGTTTGGAAAATTCCGTTTAAAGCAAGCTGGCATATTTCTTCAATTGCTTCCTTATTTGGCCAGATAATTAATTGACCAACAGCAGTTGCTAACTTAGGAAGCCAATGATTGTAAATGTAGGAAATAGATACTGGTTCAATTGCAAAACGATAGGCAATATCAGCATTCGTAAGACCTAATTTTAGCTTCATTAATACCGCTAATAAATGATCTTCGGAACTTAGAGTCTTTCTTATGATCTTAGCATGGTTACTAACTAACCCTAACAGCCAATTAAAAGATTCAATTGTGGGTAAACCAGTCAGAAATCGAAACAGTTTAAAATTATATTTAACTGAATGCCAAGAGAAGATTGATTTCCTGTTTAATTCAAAAATTTCATGTCGTAGTTCACTTATTATTACGTTTTTGTTATTTAATTCTATATATGCTTGCTTTAAGTTTGTTTCCAATTCTCCATCAGTGTCTTGCGTTTGTACTCCTACAGAAAGAGATATTTTATTTTCCGTTTGCATACCTAAGAAAATTAATGACATTATTTATGGAAGTGAAAATGTAACAATTGGATTAAAGTAGTAGTAAGAAAGATCAATCACCGATTTGTCTACTATGGTATTGCTGCTGTGGTACTCCAGCTTGAAAGTCAATAATTTTTATTATCTTTATTACTCTATTTCCAACCTCGGAGTGAGTTTCTTTGCCAAGATTGATTGATGAATTAGCAGTCAGTCCTCCAGATTGACGAATCTCCTGATGATCGGTCATATTCAACTCTTTATTAGATGTAAAAATAGATGGAATATAATCTGGATGATCGGGATTATCTGATCTCTTCCCTAGCAATAAATTAGATTCAAAATGAGAATTAGATTGAATGTTATAATAATTCATATTATAAGGTGTTATTTGCCTTACTCTATGGCTTTAGGCTGAGATAGTACTATCTAATTGGCGAAATAATGCAAAATATCTTTAGTTGAAAGTGTAATCGCTAGTCATTTCATGGATAACACGGTATTAAATTAAGCGACGATAGAAAGTGATGTTTAGTTGTAATCAAAAAATCCATGTATCCACTTTATCGTGTTCATAACTATTGTGGGATATAATTTGGGATATAATTTCTTATTTATACGAGTATAGCTGATACTTCAAGTTTGACCATGTAACTGTAGTCTATACGGTTAGGATATCGTTATGAAATCTTCTGATACCCTTTACAATATAACCTTGTATATCATCAACAATTAAAATTAGGCTGCATGATACGGACAAGATAAACCTGTGCCTAGTAAGATAGTAGAAAGACCAAATAATGCAACCCCTAATTAACACCGGATATTAGGTCAGAACTGATCAGACCTACTGGTTATTATTCCAGCGTACAGCGTTGAGCATATTGTAGTATTTCCACTGGGAGAACAAACCTGTAGTAAAATGTTGGCTAGATATTCGAGCATTAGCAATCTTCTTGGTAGACCAATTGGATCGATTGATTGCTTTTAACCAAAGTTGACGACGATGAATTTCTTTGGCAGTGCATGCTCTCGGTATTCGATAAAAACTCAGACGATTTCCTATTCTTCTATTTTTGCATCCTATCACACAGCAGGAATCCGGCATTTTGGTTCAGTATCAATATGATTGCAATATTACTCTAGTGCATTGAATATAACTGCTACGGAAAAACTAGAATTAGGCATTCAAATATCCAAAATGAATATTATCATAGCTATTTATGATATGTTACTATCGTCTCAATTTTCATGCTTGGGGTTGATGACTCTTCTACAGTAAACTATTTTGATGAGACTGCGAAAGCTTTTTTCTTAGACAAAGTAAAAACTACATATCGAATCGAACAGTTTTAAATTACAAAATGTCCTTTATTTGCGTAGTTTGAGGACAAGCTCACTTTGAAATCAGCTGATCACTACATTAGAAAACAATTATTCCCTCAAGTGGAAGGTTAATATCAAGAGTGGCTCGTTAAAAAGGTTGATTTATGGCTAAGTAGGAGCACTAGAAGGTATTGAAACTCAGGTCGATCATTATTGCTAGATTTGCTAGTCCTATCTTATCTGCTATTTGCGTCATTTATAGCATATTAATGCCATACGTTTAAGGCAATGAATCGAAATTGGCTCGTGATAAGTGAGCTGTGTAAATGGTTAAATGCCTTTTAGACCAGAGATAGCAGTTCAGGATAATCTATCGACACTTGCATCGCCTTAAATAAAGTGAAAGGATGCTTTCGTTCTCTTGATTAAATAGACAACTGGGCAAAGGGATTGATTTCAGAAATTAATTAAAATATACTGAGGTCTAAAATTGATGCAGTCAAGGTTTGCCCTAAATTCATATCTCAGGGCTATGTGTAATTTTTATAGGTGCATTGAACTGTTTATAAATCAAGATCTCCATATGCAATTATGCATACTAGTCCTCTCATATGAGTCAGTTCCATTGTTACTATATGTAAAAAATTATGAACCATGTCCATTTTTCGAATCTATTCCTTTCCATATACATTAGTCTTCGCATTAATTTATGATATTTTGCTACTTTCTGGTAACTGTCTCTTTTGCGATTTGCCTTTTCATTTAACTTTAAGGCGTAAAGTCACCGCATTTGTAAATTCTTCGCATTGATTATTTCTAAATCTGTTAGGATAAATCAAGTAATTTTATTTTAACTAGTAGTCATCTTTGACAACTAAGAAATTACTTTAGAAAACATTCATTAACACGTTGATTGTTTCTACATCTATTAGGGTAAACCAATTGATTTTATTTTAACTAGTAGTCGTCTTTGACAACAAAGAATTACTCTACAAGCCATTCATTAACACGTTGATTATTTCTACATCCATTAGGATAAATCAAGCGATTTTATTTTAACCACTAGTCATCTTTGAGAACAAAGAATTACTCTAGAAGCCATTCATTTACACGTTGATTATTTCTACATCTATTAGGATAAACCAAGTGATTTTATTTTAACTGGTAGTCATCTTTGGCAGCAAAGAATTGCTCTAGAAGCCATTCATTAACACGTTGATTATTTCTACATCTATTAGGATAAACCAAGTGATTTTATTTTAACCAGCAATCATCTTTGCGAACAAAGAATTGCTCTACAAGCCATTTACTATTTAGGCGTATGCTCGATGTTTACATCGGGCTTGACTTTTTTTGTAGTAAACAAGAGTCGCTTGATATCACTTTGTTCCTAGTACAGAGGTGCGATAGAAACTATCTTGTGCTAGCAGGATGATGCTGTCTTACATCGGTAACTATTTACAGTATTCTCATTGCTTAATTGCAATCATCTCCTAAATGCAATTCTATCGACTGCCATCGATCACATTACTGTGCACAATAGGGTTTGCACTAGATTAAGTCAATATGCTAATCAGCCATCATTAAAGGAAGAACGTCTGCAATCTTGCTTGACATTGTGGATGAACGAGTAATATGCATTAACGTTATGGTTGCCATGATGATCAGCATCATCTTGTACAATTATAATATGATACATATCTGAAGAAAAACATAATTATACGGATACAGGATATAGTGTAAATTAATATAGTAAAATGTAGATGAACAATAAACATAAGGGAGACCGCCAGCAGGATGCTACCAGTTATTGTAATTAGTAATGGTCCTACATTCCATAACATATGATGTGTACACAGTAGACATCAGACAGTATGTACTGTATGCAGCACTACAACTTCCACGATTAGCCTTTTACGATTTAAGGCGGGATTTGTTTATTTATGATACTGTACTAGTTAACAGTTAACGTAACATACGTGTAGTGTATATGTCATATATATGTTAACTTATACACTATTTTACAGTAGTCAAAAGTGAGCAAGAACGCTAGCGGTTGGCTTTTCATCTTTCTCCTATCCTTCGTTGCGACTTCCATTCCTTATGGTGAGTATCAAGTAACGTGGAAAGATAGTGTCATCTTCATGTTTTACACGACTGATGACTGTACTGTAAATTATGGAAAGTTAAAAGCTGCTATAAATATGACCAATTATATTGTATTGGTTTTGTGAAGTAATGATTGGCTTCTTGAGTAATTAATGATACCTCTTTCTATCTTATTTGATAGTATTATGTCTCAATTGCGATTTACCATTAATTCAACGTCAAGAATTTTTCGCTACTGTCATAGTGGCATTAAAATTCATCATCATGGTATGGCAATCAATCGTCTACGTCTTCTATCAGATCAGCCAATAGCAATCCATCATATGGATTCTTCATTTGCTTTAGGTGTTTACTGTGGTAATGTGAAAACACAACAGCTATTCCCTTACCCTGATGCACTCGATGATGAATCCAAAGACACAGTCAAACTTATGATTGATCCCTTGGAGAAATATTTCCGTGAAGTTCATGATGCATCGCAATGTGATCTGGATGAAAAATTGCCCAAGAAATCGATCGAAGTACTGAAGGAGCTTGGTGCCCTTGGTATGCAAGCTCCGCAAGAATATGGTGGAATGCAATTAAAGAGAACACAATATGCACGAATATCTGAAATCATAGGATCGTTCGATTTATCCATTGCCGTATTTATGGCCGGCCATCAAGCCATCGGTTATAAAGGGATCGTACTCTTTGGCAACGAGCAACAAAAGCAAAAGTATTTACCAAGTTTAGCAACTGGCGATAAAATTGCTGCTTTTTGTTTAACCGAACCCTCAGCTGGATCGGATGCCAATTCTATCCGTAGCACAGCTGTCCTTGATGATGATGGCAAGCATTACATATTAAATGGCAACAAAATATGGATTAGCAATGGCGGCATAGCCGATGTGATGACTGTATTCGCTCAAGTTCCAATCAAGAAGAACGATTCCGATAAAGAATCTCAAGCAGTGACAGCTTTTATAGTAGAGAGAGATTTCGGCGGTGTTACTAGCGGTCCTCCAGAGAAAAAGATGGGAATAAGGTCATCCAATACTACGGCAGTCTATTTCGATGATGTCAAAATACCAGTAGAGAACGTGATAGGTAAAGTCGGTGAGGGTTTTAAAGTAGCTATGAATATACTCAATGAAGGTCGATATGCTATGGGCGCCACCATGACTGGTATAATTCGAACCTTAATGACTAAAACTATCGAGCATGCTAAAAATCGAGTTCAATTTGGCCGGCATTTAATCGAATATCAATCAATACAAGAAAAAATTGCTCAAATGGGTCTCACTCACTACGCTGTCGAATCGGTCGCCTATGCTGTGAGTAATAACATGGATAGAGGCATTAAAGAATTTCAAGTTGAAGCTGCTATCAGTAAAGTATTAAGTTCTGAATCAGCTTGGAAAGTAAGCGATGATTGCATACAAATATTAGCTGGTATGGGATTTATGAGAGAAAATCAAGCAGAACGTTTCATGAGAGATGCACGAGTTTGTCGTATATTTGAAGGTGCCAACGATGTTTTACGCCAATTTATTGCCTTAAACGGTATTCAGTATGCTGGAAAGAATATGAAAGAACTACAGAAAGCGTTGCAGCAGCCAATCTCCAATTTCGGTACACTATGGAATCAAGGTGTTAAACGATCGAAACGTCTTATAGGCAAGGCTGACAGTCAAGAGCTACTCGAGGTAACTGCACCTGAACTAAGCGATTGTGCTAAGATGATTACACAACGCATTGAAGAATTTGGTGCTACGATAGAAAAGATACTAATCCAACATGGCCGAAATATCGTCGACCAGCAGTTTATATTAACCCGCATAGCCAACGCTACAATTGATATTTACTCTATGGCTGCAGTATTATCTAGAGCAAGTAAAGCGATCAGTAGTAATTTACCGACAGCAGATCATGAGAGACTATTGGCGTCTACACTTATTGATGAGGTTTGCATATAATATTATTCATTATTCAGAGGTTTTACTCGTTACTTCATTGAAGCAGGTATAAAATTGGGATTGAATAATAAAAATAATGTATTTATTATATTAGTGCTGTGAAAGAGTTGAACAAAATCTAGCAGAAGCAATTACGAAAAAAAGTTTAGACCGCTTTACTGCTTACTCAAGTATAGCTAAAGAAGTTAGTGAAAATGAAGGAATGGCTACAACTCGACCTTTAAGATTCTAAGGTTGCTATGAATAGGTAAAACTTGTATAGATTTTATTCCATTACCTAACGTTGCATTATTGTAGGCATAAATAAATATTTATAAATGCAAGTGAAGAGTCTTGTCACAGGAAACTGCTAAACTTTCTACGTAAGAAAGAATATGGTCTCGAATGTACTTACTATTGTTATCAGTTTTATCATTGAATTCGGAATGTACAAGTGCTTTGGATAAGCTATATAATCAAACATCTTTTTGTTGTCTAGTCATATATCAATATTGTTATTTATGGAATGTATAATCTGGTGCTCTTACATTACTTGAAATTTAAAATTGTATATATTTACTGCAATATAATATTATTAAAGCTATTTCATCTTACTGTACGTGAATACTCGTAAAATAGTAATTATCAGTATTATAATTCTCTGTCATGGCACTGCCATGATAGGATATTTTATACCTTGCTTTCCTTAATTTGACTAAAAATAATAATTGTAATATCGATTTTCCTGTTGTTAACGTTTAAGCATTGAAATAAAACTAGAATCAAAAGCTCATTTAAAACTATTCAAGTATCAAGAATTAGTATTTTATCAAAAGCATACGTAATATCAATTTATGAAACCACATTGGAACTTCGTTACTTGATTTGAAGTAATACAAATTCAGATATACTACATAATTGATATCTATGTCTTACGTTTGGATACGGCTTACTTAATCTATTCAATTTAGATTAGTACAGATTCAGTAGTATGCATCATTATATATATAAAATTAGTTATTCTGATTTACTGAAGCAGGGCATTAAATATTGTTAACAAAATATTTTATGTCCATCAGATTGACTGTACAGTACGGTTAACTAGCCTATCGACGATACTCTACTAGGGAATTCTCTGACTCTACCCTAAGCAAGTAGGATGAGAATTTTTGTATTAGACTGCTAATATTACTCTATTAATCGACTGCCAGAAAATGGTAAAAGAAACATAAGAAATTGACGAGAATTGAACGAATGGCTAATTACGTTTGCCTTAATAACAGTATGGTGCGAACAAATTCTCCTGAAATTGATCATCACGACATCGATCAACACCGACCAACTGGCCGCTTGCTTTCTTATATTTCTATTCTTTTACTAATCTTATTCAATCATCTCATTTCTTTTTTTGAAAGAGGCACTTTACGCAATCGTGATATATAGTAGGACCCTTTACCGTATCAATCATTATCTTATATATTACGTTAGTAGATCAATTCAATAGTCACTGAAAATTAATGTTTATCACGTTTTCATCATCTTTTGCCTTGGTAATATTTTAGACTTAAAAGTAAGAAAATTTTGATAGAGCTGAGTATGTCCTATCAGTTTTGGAGAAATGGAAGAAGAATTAACCTTAATTAAAGAAGGTTTGATAAATAATAAACAATCATTACTAGTTTTAGCTTATACTGTAACGATGCGATTCTTAGTGTGACATTGAAGTAGGATTCCTTGTTTGACTATTACACTACGACGATTACTTTCGACAACTAGCCTCTAAATTATCATTATTTGATTTGATTTATTTCGACATGGTAGAGAAAAAGCTCTTACAATCTGTGGTAGATGATTATTTCAAATTCGATATAACTTTGCTATCAGACGTCATTGAAAGAATGGAAGGCAATGAAATTGTTTGCCCAGTCTGTTTAAAATAGGAGTCATATTGGTTTTATTTCGCCGCATAATTGCACACGAGGCCGTATTAAATATCCTATCAGTAATATCATGTCGTATGATTTCTTTAGATCTCGACTGTTACAAAATAAACGCATAATCTTTTACAGCGATGGCGTTCGCTCAGATATCTAGGAAGTGTAAGCGCTTGTTAAATTAATCCTCTAGCAATACGACTCTGTATAGATATAAACACTTACATAGTGTGATGGTATTAGCCTGGGTTATACTAAAAACAAATTGAAGATTCTTTTAATATGCATAAGTAAGCCTCATTTCGATATCGTCATGCTTTATCATGAAGGAAATTTCAAGTAATAAAATGGAAAGTAAATTGTTGAATTTATTCTATCATTTCTATTTGCAATCAGCCATATTGACATGCCTAATTGACACTGTTTATAAGTGGTAAAATCTAGGCAACAATTATAAAACCATTTGTTACCCCGTACCGTTACAAATTTTACCCAAACTTGCATGGAAAGGTACGATTATTGCATTCAGTTGACAATATCTATTCAGCTTATTGATTGAATATACCTGTCAGTTGCTCATGGTAATCATAATTTTCAGAGCTATGTAAAAACAACTATTAAACTTTAATATAAATCTCTCTTACGTAGACAATGAATAATGATATTTATACAGCAATTCCGTAAACATAGTTAGATGATTCAAAAGTTAACAAAATGCTATTTAAGTAATATTATCTACCATTATTGATTAAAAAATCTTCCATATCTTCGCGCCCTTCCTATACGCTTGTGTTCTTATCTTAATTGAATGTCTTAATACATGTACAGTATACTCTTCCATGCCCTATCAGTCACTCAATTTGCCTCTAATTGCACTTACTAAATGAAATTTTAATTTACTTTAGATTCTTTCTATCGATAAAGTTTCTAACCTTGTATATCTCTATCTAGTTTTGGTATATCAATTGCGCGGTGGTTGATAGTAAATATGATTAGAATATCATATTAGTTCAGGAGACCGTCTTCTCTGCCATCAACTAACTATTGAATCAAGTCTAATAACAAGTGGCAAGTAATGAAGTGATAAACCAATCCTGCAAAAACAACGCCAATGTACTAATTGTTCAGGTACATTATGTAATTATGGGATCTTACGCTAAATAATATATACTTCAGAGTGGATCATGATGTTATCGGCATTAAAATAACTCGAATAATAATATCAGCAAATATAAAAGGCTTATTGTTGGACAATACTGGATTATTAGCAATTTGATTTTAATATGTGAATTTTCTATCGACTATAAAAAGATTGAGGATGTCAAAAATTTGCTAAAATTGTATATTTTTTTAATGAAGAAATTAGTACGAACGCTTGGGTCTACCGTCAAATTTGCCCTCTCTAACATCTACCTAAAGTACAACACTCAATGCAGACAATTTCTCAATCGTCAGGAGGTAGTAATGAACACTAGTTTCCCATAGACAAAATTTAAACCAAACCTTATTTAAAAATCTGTTAATTTATAGTCAAAATAAACAAACATTAATTATCAGTTTATCAAAAATATCATAAAACTAGGCAATTATCGATCAAAGTATGTATAACGTCCTAGATAACGGTATTTTTAAAGAATATCGAAGCATACTATTTGGCGACAATAAAATAGTATGTGCATATCTGTATTTTTGGTGTGTTCATTAAAGTATAGCGTGTGGTGATATATAATCAATGCAATAAAATATTGCCTTAAGCATGATAATCGATGTTGCTTTCCATCCTTGTGAATAATGAACACAAATGTGAGGTTTCTAAGCTTATTGCAGTCCATATTATGCTGCTTGAGAATTTAGCGAAGGACAAATAGAAGAATTCCTTATTTGCAATATTACTCAGAGTAACTCTTGTAATTTCCTTGCGATGTTACAACAAAGGTAGTCACGGTTTCATTCATGGTCAATCCTGATATATAGCTTAGAACAAGTAAAATTCCAATTGATGGCTAACGATGATGACGCCGGTATTGCACAGTAAACCAGCTAAGAATGTATGTCGAAGTTGTACAAAATGCACGCTTTAGAGATTCCATTGAAATTAATTATTCATGCTCTGTCACTAACAACTCTGGATTACTAGGAAGACGCCCATTTCTATCAATGGCAATGATACTGCATAGGTGTGCGTTAAGATTCGTTCAGATAATGACAAAGTACACTACTATCCCGATTATCTGAACGAATCATTTAAAATGTGTGCCGCCAATATTAGGCAAATATCAATAGGTGTACTGTAAGGCTTTTACATCGGATTTCGGATCGGTCGAGCTGAATTAAACTTCAGACTAGATAAAGATTCCCTCAGATGATCGGGATAATGTACTTGATGGGACGAGGGAACAGCCATAAAGCATTTTAAGCATCTGATCAAGACTCCATTCTCATATATTGATATTTATTGGTATATCCAGCGCCAACCTGGCCGTTATGGCTGTCCGCAATGGGCGCTACAGTGTACAGTGTACAGTACGCACTTTAGAAGGAACGAAAGTACTGTACTACAGTGAATTCATTCTCCTGCAGAAACAGCCCCTCTGATTTCTGGCGTTTCCATAGAAACAGAACTTCGTTTGTATACGTAGCTAATCAAGCAATATCGTCCACTTCATTTAACTGCAGCACTAAGTTTATAGTAAAAGTAAAAGATCGCAGATTGTTAACCAATTCAGGAAATAAATTCAATTGGACGCTTCCATTACAATTTTTTAATTTATCCTTGAAATCAAATTGTCGACTATCCATTGGTAGGTACCATGAGTAAAAACTCGCGTGTCAAGGTTGTCGTCCGAAGCAAACCGACGGCCAACTTTGCTCATGAATTCATGAAAATAGAACCAGATCATAAGGTAATATTTGCGATTCTTCAAATCTTAATTAAAATCACAGCACTAACTATAGGGCTACTCTAACTCTTGTGTACATCAGGCACTTGACAAATTTTTTCAGTAGAAATCAATTTTATGATAACATACAATATCCCTAAATTTTTCTTCAATATCGTCATTCCTTTTGCATTTAATACCGTCCTACGGCCAATGGTATTAACTGGAATGATTTCAATTTTATTAATTACAATATTCCATCAATTGATAACTTAATTAATGAAATAATCATCGTGACTGGAATATGAATCGTAACGTAGGATACTGTTATAAATAGTCAATTCTTATGCTTGAAAATCCCAACGATTGCATATCTACCACATTTTCTAATTGAAGGCCAGTACAGTCAGTTAGACATCACTTACTTTCAGTCACAGTAATCAAACAATCATTCTGCTCTAGTAGTTAACAGATACTCAATATATATACTATTCAATAAGACTCTGTGTTACCTTATAGAGTTTTCAAAGAAGCAATGCTATTATGCCTATACTTACGATTTCCGCCATACTTACAACGTATTAAATTGAATAGACTATAGATTATCGCCTTGGCATGAATTAAAATCATAAAAGAAACTTAGCAACCATTTAATTTTACGCCATACTCAAGCCGAGTTATTCAATCTTATTAAAGTATAAGTATTAATCCTTTTGTGATTTCTTCAGACTATAGTGCTTCACGATGAGAAGGCTACAGACAATTCTTTCATTAACAACAAGGTCCATGGTAAGTTATGCGAATTTATAAATCGACTAAATTTAGCTTTTGGGGATAAAACATGAAGTAAATATGATAACGACCACCCAACTTTATGAATCCACTTCAGACTCTATCCAAATTTCTAGTACTGTACTACGTATGACTCTTTGATTTAATGTAGCGCCTACACTTTTAATTCAAGTTCAGATTAATTAGTTGGTCAAATTTTCCATAATTATGCATACTAGCAGAGATACACTTAACTTTGATCTCACGACTTGCTCAACTCGTAATTTGACGTCATCATTCTCCTTATCGATTAGATTGGACATTTAATGTGGATAAAGTACTACACAATGCAAGCCAAGAAGCCGTTTATGATGAATGTGGCAAAGACACAGTTTCAAAAGCTTTAAATGGATATAACTGTAAGTCAGGCTATTTTGCTAATTTCTACTTTATGAGTAAATAGAAGCACTAATTTTGCATATTTTATCTTAGCAACTATTTTTGCATATGGACAAACTGGAGCTGGTAAGACATTTACTATCACTGGCACAACAGAAAACTACAAAAATCGTGGCATTATACCTAGAGCTATTGCCCAGGTAAGAACCCGTTATCATACAACTAATTACTAGCATAATTTATATTTATAAAGATCAAGAAGCTTTTTTAAGTATCTCTAAAAATGTTGTATAAAAATCTTTATCTAAACAGTTAATCTCATTAATATTATATTATCTCTCTAAGATCTTTCAACATGTTAAAGAACATACTGACACTGCCTATAATATTAGGTAATAGCAATAACATTTAATCTATGTAATTTCATGCATCCAAAGTGCTTACTAAAGTGCTGTATATCATGTTACAATTGATTCTATAACCTATTTATTTATTATATGAAGCACAAAGCTAAACAACTGATATATTATTGAATGAGTTCTAAAAGCTAAACTTTTTTATTTTCTTCAATAAAACACCTACAGCGCCTCGTATTTAGAAATTTATAACGAAACAATGTTTGACCTGCTTTCAACTTTACCGGAACAAAAGTTGTATCAACATGAGCAATTACAGCCTATGTCGGTGGTAGAGGTAATGTGCTGTTTACGTACTTTCTTTATGCTCTATTTTCATTCCAAATAATGTAGTAATAACTTTCATCGTAAAAACACTAGGATCCAAACGGATCGACTTCAGTCAAAGGTCTACGAGTACAATGTATTACATCTGAAGAGGAAGCATTAAATTTGTTATTTGAGGTTGGAGACACAGTAACTAGCTATAGTATTATTTTAACTTGACGGCTATTTGATCAATGTAATATATTCGAAAAATAGGGAGAAACAAACAGAGTTATCGCATCTCATGCTTTAAACAAAAGCTCATCTCGTTCGCACTGCATCTTTACCGTTTACATTGAGGTTAGTATGTGTGATATTTTCTATAGAAAAAATAATCAGATATGATGTTGGCATTTATATTTATTTTTCATTTTTATCCGCTATAGTCACGTTCAAGAGTCGATTCTATGGCTAAGGTAATATCCTCCAAACTCCATTTTGTTGATTTAGCCGGTTCAGAAAGGCTTGGAAAGACAGGGGTATGTAATTATAAAGCGTCCTATTTTTAAACACTACAGACCGAAAATAATTAATGCCAGATTTACTAGAAATTCAATATTCATCTGATTAAGAAATTAACATAAAATTGAAATGTAGAATAAATATCTCATGTTAGTTGATACGATAACATCATCCCCATGCAGCAATATAAAGTCGCTTTCTATATCTATATTTTAATTTTACAGTCAAGAGGAGATACCCAAAAGGAAGCTGTCTACATCAATAAATCTTTAACGTTCCTCGAACAGGTATTTTGTTGATTTATTAGCATTTTATGTAACTAAAACAAACATATAAAATTTGGATACTTTATGTGTTATAGGTCATCATTGCATTAGCGGACAAGAAAAGGGAACATATACCATATCGTCAATCCAAACTTACCCATGTTTTAAAGGATTCAATTGGTATAATATTATAATCTAGAGTGAATATTTCAAATTGTCATGCCTTACTGATATTAAATTCAATATTTGTAGGTGGTAAATGCAATACGCTAATGATTGCTAATATTTGGGGCGAATCAAGCCAGATTGAGGAAACTGTAAGTATTATAGTCGACTATACAGTAATCACATTACACTGCACTAGTCTAGCAGTAAGTACAGTTGTATTCAATCTCAAATTAATGTATTTCTGAAATCTTTATCCTTGCAGTCTTCGACACTACGCTTTGCAGCCAGAGTTATGTGTGTACCGAGCGAGCCAGCATTAAATATCCACTACGACGCAGCGGTAAGTTTTGAAATTTTCTCTAAATATTATTTACAATTAAAGAACATCTAAATGAAGGTTTAATAATTGGGTAAATAATTACTTTTTGAGCATTAATTTGCTTTTATTTTTCCAATAGCAATTGATTTTGCAATATGAAAAAGAAATCAAGGCATTAAAGCTAGAATTAGCTATGCATAGCACCTTAGTAAGTTATAGAAACATTCACTTACATATAAGGACATTTCTCTTAATAGAATTGTTTTTTACTTTATTACATATTTCAATTTTTTAATCCTTAGGCTAATCGTGGAAAAATCAGTTACGATCCAATATCAGAACTTCGCTTACAAGAAATTCGACGAGAAGTTCGTGCATTTCTTTCTGGTCAACTAGAAACAATTGAGGTACAAAATTGATTTATCAAAACAAGCTGTATTAGATAATACTTGTTTAAGTAGCTTATAACTAATAAATAGACGATAATTTAAATTTTATTAAGTACTATGTATGTACAGTCGTGCATATTAAAATTTACCCTACTCATATTGAATATCTATTTTAGATTGAGAGTGTGCGGCAAGTTAAGGCTGTTTTCCAAGAATTTAAAAATCAAATGAGGTAAAAATTTTTTCTCATAATGAAACTTAACTTTTAAATCATTTATGTCTACTAATTAAATCCCCTTCGTATCAGTTTAAGTATTTATTAGTCCTTTTTAATTCTTATTCTAAGCTTATCGAGGAATGATTATAACGGCAGAACTACTGGAAAATTAGGTGGATCAGCTTATGATTTGCCAGTCGTTAGGCCAAAGGTAAATCGGCGACGCTTTTTAGTAACTGCTCTATTAAAAACAATTTTGAAGAAATTGACTAATCTACTGTTGATGTCTGGGTGGTATCAATATATAGAGTAACACGATATCGGTTGTTGATGACCGTCGTGAAGTAGGCGAAAACGAAGGTCAAGGCTTTGGAGTTGGTGTAGTAAGTAGCATAGCTACTTAAAATGTTATAGTCTGGTGCTATACAGATGAATAAAACTTAATATGATAGACACAGCACGTAATAATTTATTACGTTGTAACTTATGATAGGTTACTCAAGATGGCAAATTATCACCGGCAGGAAGAAAAAGCAAGTTCAAGCGATATAAAGATCGAATAGGGTAAAGTTCTTGCTACAATAACGATTTGAGAGCTAAAGCTAAGAGTACTATGCACAATAATAACAGGCATTAGCAGATCCGGTTTTAATGTTGTATAATTTCAAAACAATATCAACATTTTAGCTCTCCACCTAAAACTGGCAGCTCTGACACATCATCTGTCACTTCGATGAATCTAGCTGATCCGAATGCACACCGTGTTGCAAGTGCTACCCATACAGAAGCTCGCGAGGCCTCAGAACATGCTCAACACCCATTAACTTATCATCCAACCCAACATAATGAAAGATCGCAACTGCAACAGCAGCTGGAACATCAGCATCTGGGTAGTGCTCATTCTCATACCCACTCTCATGCTCATTCTCACGCCCTTTTAGACCATCATGTGCATCATCATAATCAACATGCTGGTGATCTCCATTCGCCCTCGATCCATCATCATTCTTATGGCCATCATCATAACGTTCAATCCCATCCTAATCTTCCGCCATTAACTCCAACACAAGATCCGTATCCGGTACGGGATGAAATTCTGCATGTTGCAGAACAAACTATTATTGCGCCCAGGTATATTTTTATTTATAAAAACTGATTTGCTAGTATCTACAGGTATATTGGCGAATTAGCTTACTACAATTATACCATATTTCTGTCTTTTGGATTTTATTAAACTTTATACTTATTTCCTTTATCCATTGTAACTATTTTGTAGCACACCTCCTACTAAGCAAGAGGCTTTCGAAATATTTAAACAAGATAGAGGAGCTGAAATATTTAAAATTTTAAATGACAATAAAGGTTAGGAAATAAGACTGCCTAACTCTTGGTCTGATTATTATTAGTAAAAGATGTTACTGATCGATCATCCTTTTAAACTATCGAGAATCATATACTTATTCTAATTTCATACTCTTTCTATCATTCATTGCCATCTTCAAAACATGAGTAGATATAGTAAAACAAAAGAAGAAAGCAATCAAAGACTTAACCTATTCTGTTAATGCTAATAAGCGCCATATTGATCAGGTTAGGATTCAAGAATATAAAATGCCCATGATATTGCTAAAAGTAGCAATACGTTTAATATAAAAATTCTTTGGATAACCTTAGCTTAGACGTCTTTATTCAAGATCTAACGAGGCATAAGATCTTTACTTTATTTGTAATCCAATAAGAACCGACACTAACAATAATTTTGATGAACTTTAATGATCTTTAGGTCAGAAATCTATTAGATGAGAAAAGAAGCGAGACGGAAACTAATGGTGAATTACTAACCGAATCTGGAGAGCCTATTATTGACGAAGAAGAATTTTCATATTTAAAAGACTTAAAGGATGTAAGACATAGCAAAATAATTATATGGTCTATTTTTTAGTGGGATTACGCAAATTGTGTAGGCAAAATTTATACAACTGACCAGTAATTGCGTGAATGGTAATACTTGCTTATTTGCTTCATGATTCGAAAAATTGACATTTATCTAAATGTGCCACTTAATGACTGCAAATGTATCCTTATTGTATTTTTTTGGAGTTAAAGATAATTAAACTTATCTTGGCTTTAAATTTCTCTAGTCAAAAGCAAAATATCGAAAAGATTATGAAACACTACGAGACAAAAAAGCCGAACTAGATTATTGCCAAAAGATACTTGATCAATGCCGTCAACGATTAGTGCATGATTTCGATGAATGGTATTCTGACACCTATTTACCTTCTGATGAGCATATTAACAGCTTAGCTACACCAGATAAACCTAATGCTCATATTGCCATGGCCATTGCGGTATGTCGACTATGAAAGTTTTATAATTTCTACTGGAAGGCATGCGTTTTAATCATCTTATCGTACAATAAATAATTAGATCGAAGATGATCAAGAAAAATTCGAAAGGTTAAAATTAGACTTACTTCAGGTAAATCAGCAGCTAATTCGTGTAAATGTTTTCCTAATACATAAATTAAGTTTATAATATTCAAAAATTATAATAAACTATAAAACTCGTAGCAAATAGAATCAAGCTTCCTATTTCATAAGTGTTGTTAAAATTTTCTCTCTTCTCTTGAACGTTAACAGCAAGAAAATACTGATTCCGCTGCATTCTATAATGCTCGCATAAGAACAGAGCATAGGGTAAATAACTAAATCATGTTTTAAATTCCTTACAAATTTGTCAGACTATTTCTTACATATTTTTGACTACTATAATTTTTTGCCACCAATTCTTAGTTTTTCTACGGCAAAACTGGCGATATGCAGAAGAAAAAAGCAGGCCTAGTGACAGCTACCATTAAGAATAAGCCAACTTCGGTGTTGCCGGTCCGCTAATTTATCCTCCATATATCATATTATCCAATTTTGATATAAAACAAAATTAACTCATTTGAAGAACGTGAAAGCCTCATTACTTTCCAACGCAAACTACTTGGAAAAACTATCTACAAAATGTTATTCATGGATATCCACCTTTTTCATTTTACATATATGATATTTTAAAACGAATTTATGCAAATATTTCTTGATATATCATTTATAAGTCAAATAAGCTACTCATAACAACTGAAATAATTTGATTTTTGCGTTTGTTTCGACTCCGAGTCAATAATCTTTCAAATTGGTAAAGATTACATTACTATAACAACTTAAGCGACATCATCCCTACTTGGTGTATATATATGAGTATATATCAGTATATCTAATTCTATATACAAATATATCTTTTTAGCGGATGTGATTCTTTACTTAACAAGCGTGTCTTACTCGAACTCTAAATTTTCCGTGATCAATATATTAATATTTGAATCATTATTGTACAATAAATAATTGAAAAATAATAAATAATTATGATACCAAATAATGATTAAACTGCAATTCTTTTCAGAAGCTTAATGAGATTAGTAAAGTAGATTTGTGTTCTGATATTTCTGCAAGTCTTTGTTTATATACTGCACATTGTTATCAGATTAGCTTTCACCTATATAAATTTCTATCATCATAATGAAATAATATTATAAGAGTATTTCATTTTTGCTAGTAATTCTCTGAGATAATGTTGCTTTATGCTTGTCATGACATTTAAGCTGAATTATCTAACCCTAGGCCTACTAATTGTAGGGTAACTCAATGAGTCGATTGCTCTTAAACACTAATCGATTTCAAAAGGCAAGATTATAATTATAGAAAATCTTGCTAATCCTAATTAACCCATAATAGCAAAATGCTGATAAAGCAAAACAGAATCAATTAAATTATATCGTCTCCTATAATAATATCGATAATAATATCCGGAAATTTCCCGTTCACAAGCAACAAGTTTCTACCTTTATATGCTGCGAGGGTTGGATATTATCAACGTTGTTAGTTTACTTTGTTTACTTGAGCTGCAGTGATAACCAGGTACTATAAAAGTTGCTATATTACAACGACTACGTAAGTTACAATTATTATACAAATTGTTACTTCTAACGACTACGTGACAGGAACTTCTTCAAATGAGAATTCAGCCATCCGAAGGTATGATGTTGCTAGTTTACCGAATGTGTAAGCTATTTTAGCTTCAATCATCGATAATGCCTTGATACTTTTATTATTACCGTATTTCGATGAGAAGATATTCTGTGTGGTAGTCACCGACACTTTAAAAATTTGAAAATCATGATTACATCAACCTGGTAATTAATCAGTGCTATTTATAGCGATGTTCTATGGTCAAAATTGATTTACATAGTCAATGAAATTTGCCTATGATATACCTAATTTAGTACGTGTCGCACGTACGTAATATCGAGTATATTTACTCAATATAGCGCGTGATCCACGTGCATCCAGGCATATAGATTAATACGATAGCCGATGGAAAAAGCGATGATTATGGATAAGAGCAAGTTGATGACCGACTAAAGAGCTTTTGGCTCATTCTTATGCTATAATTTTAAGTAAATATCTGCCCATTCTAGATGTTGTGAATATCAATTTCAGGATAAATGCCACTTTCAATACTACACTCTATCACTGTAACTGCTAGTAATTATTTATATAGAATATAAACTCTACCCGCTAACAAGCAATCCGTAGGAAATCATGGCTTCATTTGGATTAAAAATCAATCAATTTATTGCTGCGTAATAGGATTCTCTCCACAATAATATTCTACATTGATATGGTCGAAACTATGGTCGTCTGGCATGAAATATTTGATCGATTGTGCTTGGCAGAAAATTTTAATTAACCGAAGAAACTGAAGAATACTATTCATGAAAGAGTGCTCACGATAGTAGACAATTACTTTAAATTAGAAGATAACAACTTTAGATACAACGTGAGTTAGGCGCTATTTACAATACTATAACATTGCAATAATAGATGCCGTAATAGATTACATAATAAAATATTAACCAATTTTAATGGAGTCTACATGACGGGAAATAAGATTTTACTACATTAAAACGCTGTTTTGTTATCATTCAATGCCATCGTGATCAACAACACTATAATGGAAATAGGTGCAAAAATATCATACAGAATCATTTCAAGTTGTTAGAGTAAACTACAACATCCCTTTGCCTTATAGCTTTAAACTAGTTTCAGATCAATTTTAAATTGTAAGTTATAAACACAAGTGAAAAGGACATAATGGCCAGACATGGAGAATAATAAATTATTTAGGGAAAGGGATAAGGAATAAAGGAGAGCAATTTGCCTAAGGGATGTTCCATCTCAAAAGAATAGCTAGTAAATCGTGTTAATATTGTTAACACCATGCTCGTAACCTTTCACAAAATAACGATACAATAGTAACCTTAACTAATCTAAAAAATGACATTCCAGCGTTACTTCAACCACCAATCACCAATTTCCCTACCATGTGATGTCCACTTATGTCAATAAAATAATGCTAACAAAGGTATATTGCAACGAATTAAACGCCAGCTTACTAGCATGGGTATTAATCTCCTCCCCATTCGCTCAGAATGGAAGTTCATTTATTTAATTTGTTTCATCTTTTCCTTATCTAAATAACTTTATTTTATCTAGAGCTAAATTTATTCGTTATCTTGTAGTAAAATAATTTATTTCAACATTAAAATTAATAAATCTTACCTAATTTAAATGATATTTCCGTGATTACCATGATTCATGAATCAAGTATGAACTAACTTAGTTCATTAGTCAACTTACCTTACGGCTGATATGTTAAAGAGGTCAAAAATAGCCAAATCTGTTGATGATCATTTCAATAAACTATTCAAATCATAATAATAATAGAAAGAATGCCATTTGTTAAACTGAGTAATTAGTTCATTTTAATTGATGCCTAACTAAAACTGAATTGATTAATTTCTTTAATTCTATATTTATTTCAGTTGTTTTAACTAGGGATTGATTGATGATTGTAACTAGTTAAAGTATTGATTACAAAAACACCATTTACTATTATCCGTAACTTAACATCGCAGAAAACCCTGCTTTCCTCAAACATCTTACTACTGTTTAGTGTAGAATTCTAGCTCGAAGATTTTAAAAACAAGGCGATAAAGTTCACAAGATTTTGTTCAACATTATTCTGTGGCTTTTAAAGGTTCTCATTATCGATTGGGCATATAGCTACTACGCCAGTAATCGACCGTATTTTTTATTACCGCTAAATCATTGATTAGCGGTTTATAAAAGCGTAATCAATATATTGGCTAACGTTTTCGCCTCCTTCGTTTCAAAAAATCTCATCATTTGTTGGAAACAGTTAAAGGCTACCAAGACATTAGAATTCATTACTGGATCTCAGAATTCTTGCTTACGGGCTACGATAGTTGATGAAAGTACAATTTTGTTTATCTCTTAAAGTCCAGCTTTTACGGTGAAAAAGAAAGGTGGATAAAACAAGCAGATTACAACGTGTTAAAAAGACCACTTAATGCTTATCTAACCATTTTCTGTTGAAAAAAATTAACGTATTAATAAAATTATAGAACTATATCAACGAAGAACTCTTTTATAGAACATTTTCATGGCATAAGGCTATTTTCCCATTTCTTATTTGGATAGAGAAAATTTTTTCACGGAAAATCAATCTTATTTTCAATTTTGGATATTCTGCCCTAATCCGTAATATTGCTTCTCTGGACCATTCTTATATTTTAACTGCTAAAAGTCAAATTATTCAATTATTCAGGCTTCGCGAGCTTGATTATTTTATTCTTAGCAGTTATTTTAAGAGTTATTGCCAAAATTCTAATTAAAAAGGAGAGCTAATTATTTTATAAGATAGTCAATTTATCTAAAATGTCTATCGATACGAGATCGGATGCTGAATCCATCGTAAGTAAATACAGTAGCATTGATACTCTGAATAGCGATGAAAGTTGTGAGCCTCAAGAATGTCAGTATCTTGAGTCGGAATGGTCGCGCTTAACCAGCTTATTGCAGTCATTGCAAGGTCAAGAGGTTCATCGTTACCTCCAACGAGTTTTAAAAAAGAAAGAAATTAGATCAATTAGAGCATTAAGTCAACTTCTACCAGCACATCGATTTCCAACAGCAGGCATTATTCACTGTGTCCGTTGCCATCACGAGTATTATCCGGCACATCAAACGCCTAAAAGTTGCCAACTGTATCATTCGCCACGTTTAGTCGATATCGTAGCTCAAGATCAAACAGGCACAACCTTCCTGTGTCATGGATGTAATCAAAAATTCTACTTAAAAGATATCTGGAAATTCACTAAAGAGCACCAAAGTTTAGCAGGTTATTGCTTTCAAGGTTATCATACCGATGATGCTTTTAGTGTTCAGTATCGGCCACTCGGCATAGCCAAGACATGCCAAGATAACGGATGCATTGAATTTTATATATAATTCAACATAATGCCTAACTTTTGGTTACCTAAGCATGAGCTTATTATTGCTGCTTTATGAAATAATCAGTAATTAATTTAAATGATGAGGCTCTACTTAAGAGTAAGATATTAATATTATCCGTAGAGCTGATTTCTTGCAATGGAAGAACCTCTTTAGTTTTCTGTGACGATTGATTGATTTAGCCAAGTTTTATTAAACACTAGCAAACAAGGGTAATACAGTATTCTAAGGCTCATGATTATTTTTGCTTATCTTTGTAATGCTATTATTGTAAATAATACTGATGCAGTTATGAAGACCTAGCCTTACCTCACTTGCTAGCTTTATACGAATTTAAAAAGTATATTTATGATACTGTTGTTATTTTTTTACGTCGGTAATATTTTTGCTTATTTAAGGCAAACATATATAAAGTAAAGAACAATCAGTTTAGGGATAAAAAAATTAACTTGATTCTACCAACAATGCTGTCAAAGTTGACTGTTACCGACGTATAGAACAATCATTTAAATATGTTTTTTTCAAGCTGAATAGGAAGTAAATGACTTGCACAATCTTTGGTCATTTATTATTTAATATCCATCTGTTCCTGGACAAATACTAGATACAAATGAATTTAGCAGTGATAAAAATTTATAGAGTTACCGTAAATTTAATCTATCATATAATTAAGAATTATTTTTTATCATTAAATAATTGATAATTTAATGAGGGTCGAACATCAAGTTATGAGAGATTTTCAATTTTGATAACGACTTTATTTGTTGAATAAACAAATGCGGCACAATTTATAACTTATTCTATGAGACTACCAGCTCTACTCTTGATTCAGAATTACCGATGAAAAATTATATGGGGTAGTGCGTAGTGAAAAATCAATATCTTGCAAATATTGCTAATATTTCTACTTAATTGAGAAACCTATGGTATTTTTAGTTAACTAAGTTATTTCGAGATAAATGATCGACTTTAAATCGATTTCAATATCATTAGTATCGACAATAATGTTGCGATGGAGTTTCGACTATGAAGCATAAAATTGACTATATTGACATCGATAATTTTTATATACCCTTTATATCAATCTAGAATTTAGCTTTGTGCAGTTCATAAACTTCACCGATAGCGTAGAAATATAGCTTAAAGATCTTTAATTACTTTGCGTAATGCCTAGTCATCGATTTAGATAATGCAATATGATCATGGATATCAAATTAATTAATCAGATGACTTAACTACTTGGTAACATTCTACGACAATTATTGTAGATTCTTTGTCGTATTTTCATGGATTCTGTAATTTTATTAGAATCCTACAATGGCTGATATGGTAGAGTGTACTATTGTTTTTTTTATTAGAATCCTACAATGACTGATATGGTAGAGTGTACTATCGTTTTTGATTTTAAAGTTATCGAAGAATGTAAAAATTGTGTAATTGCTATGATAGTTGAGCAAAATAGCGATCCGCCGTGATGGTGAAATCTTCACTAGTATTGTAGTACAATACTTGTAGAGAGTAATTATATAATAAAGGGAATAGATCACTAGACGAAACACTGTTGCAAAAAACCAAGAATGTACTCATATAGCTTAATTTACGTGTAGACCAATAAAATAATATTTCTTCATAATATCAGAATAAAAATATTTCACAAAATCCTGACCTTCCTATTAATGATGATCCATTTTATGCAACATAGATCTTTTTGAACTAAATAAGTTGACGGCATGATCAATGCAATGTATGACTAATCATTGATCTTAATAAAGAACCAGTGATATAAGCATTAAATACCAATTATTAAGGTTACATCTATATTTAAGAGCATGTCAATAATGATGAAGAGCACGCAAATAGCAGCAAAGTAATCGTAGTAGCATAGCAGATTTTGTTATACTTTATGGATTTATTCGCAGAGTAGTTTTCAAGAAACAATATTGCAAGAATTTTCAGCTGAAATGACTATCATATGGTAATGTTTTTTACTTATATACTTTATAATGTAACTATAATCTATTTAGCTAAGAATAAGATATACAGTTGTAATTTCGTGTAAGAATATTGCCAATAACCTATCATAGCAGTTCTTTCCTTCATAGAAAGAAGTGAAAGACATTCGATAGAGCTCACAGATATTCTAACATTCTAAAATAATATTGCATCCCAGTATTAGTAAAATACTAAACTAGATAAGGTGATTAATAGTAAAGTTTATCACACACTGATCGAGTCCGGATGTGTAGAATAACTATAATTAGTTTTATACATAGGGAGGATAGAATAAATATATTTGTATAACGTTCCTAAAACAATACCGCATAACCGTAGGGAACGTTGGAATAGTCAATATTATTATTTTCTCGGTTTTTTGCAATTTCCGATGCGATTGTACCATTGTTTATCTATCACTTAAACCAATCAGATCCAATGATCACTAACAACTTGTTTGGAACTGTTGACATTTTAATATCATTAACATTCAGGATTAATGATATCAAGGATGATCCATCTAGTATTACATTATTTCATTGTTTATTACAGACTAATTATAAAATTGAAGGTAAACCAACTAAAATCTGATGCATCAGTTTAGTAATTTTTGATCTGCAGTGATTGAATCCTATCTTCTTCATTCTATTCTCGAAGTAAATATTTTATCTATCCCTATTTCGATTAGCATAATATCTTCTTATTTTAGTGGTCCATCCAATCAATTTCCCGCGGCTTGACCTGTAGTAGTCATTATGATTTTGAAATCTAAATATAGCATTTAGCTCTGACTCTTTCTGAATAGGATTAGGGTTCGGATTTACAAATGGAAAGAGAAGATAAAGATTGACGTTTAACTACAGAATAATTTATTAGTACTGCTATTTAAGGTTGTAAGGGACGAATCTAAAAATAATTCTTATTAATTATCAAGAATTAAGACACTTATTGCAGTATGCTGACTTCTAAATATTGATGATTACGATATTTAGAAAAACCGAAGGGTGATTATTGTAAAGGATACATTAAAGAAATTAATAATACTGATATCAAAATTTTTCCACAGATGTGATGTTATTATTACCAAGAGCCCTTTTTGGTTGACATTCACGGGATTGTACTGTCTGTAAGGGATTTGGAAATGGTATTGAAAGAGCCTGTTAAGATTTTTGTGAAACAGACATTCAGTTTTATTGATTAGACTAGCTAAAGAATTCGTTGGAGATATGAATGGAAAAATTTTGCCTATGAATAAAAAATTGAGAACTAGCAAAATTAGGTGATTGTGTCTTATTGTGCGTACGTATAATAGATATCAGTGGAAAAATTTTGCCCATGGATTAGAAGTTGAGAACTAGCAAGTTAGGTCATTGAGCCTTATTGGTGCATGTAATTATACAAGTATTTATCAGAAATTGAGAACTCGTAAAATTGGATTGTTGAGCCTTGTTGATGTCCTGTATATATATACAATTATATTAGGTGAGAGATATTAATAGATTAAAACTTTGCCTATCCATTAGAAATTGAGAACGAGCAAAATTAAGTGATCGAGCTTTGTTGATGCACAGGGACAATAGATTGGAGATATAGATGAAAAAAGCTTTACCTATAGATTAGAAATTAAGAACTAGCAAAATCAGGTGATTGAGTCTTGTTGGTGTATATGTGACATAATTCTATTTGGTAGGAGATATTAATCGATTAAAACTTTGCCTAACTATTGGAAATTGAGAAGGAGCAAAATTGAGTGATTATGCCTTGTTGATACATACGTATAATAGATTGGAGATATGAAAAGGAAAAAGTTTCGCCTATAGATTAGAAATTAAGAACTAGCAAAATGAGTTGATTGAGTCTTGTTGGTGTATATGTGACATAATTATATTTGGTTGGAGATATTAATAGATCAAAATTTTGCCTAACCATTCGAAATTGAGAACGAGCAAAATTAAGTGATCGTGCTTTGTTGATGCACAGGGACAATAGATTGGAGATATAGATGAAAAAAGCTTTACCTATAGATTAGAAATTAAGAACTAGCAAAATCAGGTGATTGAGTCTTGTTGGTGTATATGTGACATAATTCTATTTGGTAGGAGATATTAATCGATTAAAACTTTGCCTAACTATTGGAAATTGAGAAGGAGCAAAATTAAGTGATTATGCCTTGTTGATACATACGTATAATAGATTGGAGATATGAAAAGGAAAAAGTTTCGCCTATAGATTAGAAATTAAGAACTAGCAAAATGAGTTGATTGAACCTTGTTGGTATATCTAATTATGTATTGAATTAGAGATATCAATGGAATCCAATTTTGCTTATGAATTAGAAATTGAGAATTAGTAAAATTAGGTCATTGAGCCTTGTTGATGCATCTGTATTTAGGTCATTGAGTCTTGTTGATGTACTGCATATAGATCATATTAGGATTAGGGTTTCAGATATTCTTCTAGGTTGGAGCTATCAATGGAATAAAACTTTTGCTTATGAATTAGAAATTGAGAATTAGTAAAATTAGGTCATTGAGCCTTGTTGATGCATCTGTATTTAGGTCATTGAGTCTTGTTGATGTATATAGATCATATTAGGGTTAGGGTTTCAGAAATTCTTCTAGGCTGGAGCTATCAATAGAATAAAACTTTTGCCGACCTATTCAAAATTGAGAACTAGCAAAATTATGTCATTGTGCTTTGCAGGTGTATGCGTAGAATAGATGGGAGACATCAGATCGTCTTGCATTCTACGATCACTGTTCTATATAGATGCAGTACAGTATTTGCAAATTAAACCTACTACCGATTACCACATACATAGCAACAACCTTGCCCTTATTACGTTTCTTCATTTTTCATCTCTAGCTGTACAGTATTGATCTACTCAACTAGATTTATTTCCTCGCTGGAGATACTTTGAGTGATTGAATTCGAATGGAGGATTTCCGTCTCCATCATGTCGTCTGGACGTCCAGGCGTCTGCGCTCCAATACTTAATACAGTAGTTCCAGTACAGTATTAACTTACTGCACTCTGTACACGACACTGTACAGTATGGGCTATGCATTCCCACCTACCGTACTTTTGACTGTAGCGTACGATACCGTAATTCTGGTTACTACTGTCGTCTCCGAGGGCTGGCAACCTGGACACAACACCAACCACCAAGTTGAGAATCAGCCAAGATGGAGTACCTAGACGCTATCTTTCAATATTTTGGATACGACAATTTTCATGAATTCGCCTTTTGGGTAGCTAAAAACCCATACGAATTCTTAGTTTCTGGTATGCTTGATGTGTAATAGGAAATGAAATGATTGTAGTAATTGAATACGGTAAAAGAATAGTAGAGTTTGACTTGCTTGTTGGTGACGGTAGCCTCAATGGCCACCATGTCATCATGTCATCGCAAATGATCATAAGTATGGCCATTGGCCATCGCTTGATCATCTTGCTTGGCAAGCATAGATGAAAGGTTGATCATTAACTATACTACTAATACTATCATCAAGTCTAATACAGTGCTGTACATTACAAAGTGAGTTTGAAAAGTTAGAGTCGGTAGAATGGTCTGTTGTGTTAAATCACCATTGCATTTTTTTTCCAACCAACTACATCTACACCAATTTTCAACATACAGTAGACTGGATATTTTAATAGCATTAATATTGTCGATAAATCCAATTTCTTTCAGTCATGATTGTGCTAACCCCGATGTTTATCATCAGTGGAATCTTAGCTTTTTACCTTTTGAAAGCAATTGAAAAAGATGAAAAAGAGAAGAAGAAACGCGGTAACTTGCCTTTCCCTTTCATATCTTTTAATAACTGTAATCAATATTGGATGCATATTGTACACATGATTTGGAGTAAGTTACGAGAGAGCAACACATAGGCTAAGTGATTATATCGCATCGTTCATTTGCAACATTTGCTGAATGTAAAAGCTTAGCTACAATGATAGATCTTACCAATAAAATACATACTGTAAGGATCAGCTCGTTGGACTTTCTATTTTTCATTAGTTTCATGAATGTACTGAATAAATACGACTATTGTTGATTGCTATAGCTTATTGCTAAATGAATATGCATGGGTAATTTGGCAATACATACTGTTTGGATCAGGTCCTTCGACTTTTTGACTTTTTTCATAAGTTTCATAATCGCATTGAATGTTGCTTATTGCTATGGCTTATTGTTACATGAATATGCATGGGTAATTTAGGAATACCTAGTGTATGGATCAGGTCGTTCGACTTGACTTTTTTCATTAGTTTCATAATTGCATTGAATGTTGCTTATTACTACAGATTATGATCACAGCTTATTGCTATATGAAGATACCTTACATTATGAATTAAAATAGACGCATTCTAGTAATAGAAGGCAACAGAATTACGTATGGCTTACATCACATCGTTAATTTGTGGCACTTATTCGATTCAAAAGATTATACACCTGGATAGAATTCTTAAATAAAGATTAGATATAACTTTAATGGATTGTTTTATTCTATAACACAATTTTGCTATGTTAGAAAAACGGCTGCAGAACATTAAACAAGATCAAGACCAAGGCGATAAACCCAAAGAGAGTAAGTATTAGTGGTATCAGCTGTGAAGTAAATATTTTTATGGTAGCAGTAGAAATTATAGTAGCAAAGAGATACCAATTTATTAGCTGTGTTAGTATTGTGAAGTGCAATTTGTGCCAATGCGTAACATGGTTTAAGGAAGAAAAATAATTGCAATAAACTGTAAACAGCAATGACTTAGGTAGACGTACAAAATTCGACCTCTTGTACTTTTCACACTAGCTATGATAAGAAAATTCCTTCTGTTCATTAGAGAATATTATTCATGTTATTTATAAAGTCAAGATCTTCTAATTAGACATGTAGCGCTATAGCATAAATAATAACTGTGGATGTGGTAAAAATTCTTTTATATATATACACGGACTGCATAATAAATACTGATAAGTAATTAATTTCTTGGCAAATGCAGACATTGCTTTCATGCAACTGTATTCATACTGTACTACTACAGTACTTGAGGATATATTTTCCATTAGCTTAGGAATAATGCTGCAAATTAAGAAATGACCTACTGTAACTGTAATACACAGGACTGTTTAGTGGACTCATTCTGCTATTAAGTTGTTATTATTTATTACAGAGAAAAAATCCAAAAATAATGCAACTAGAAAAGGAAAGAAGTCACAGAAAGCTGATTAAAATAATTCTTAGAACACTGAAACGATAGTGTACACTACTAAGGGATTATTTTCTAACAATTATTATGCTGATGGCGGGCTCACTGCTTATAATCTGTTTATTCGTCTTTCTGGATTTTGCAATTATGCACATAGTAAACACTTTTTTATTCAATCAGTTGTATTCTTAAAGTTAATTGCCGTGCCTTGGTACTGTGCTATATAGAACTTACTTATAGTGCAATAACTACCAGATAATCAGCTTATTTTGTAATATTTTGACTGACTCTGCTCCAACACAAGTTCTTTATGCTATGATACTCTTTCAACCTTTATTGCTTAAAGGTTGATCAAAAATCTGTGTAATTAGCCTTAGTCACCATCGATTTAATTGCATTGGCTTCACAAGTATAATTATATTTCTAAGTATCTAAAATAATAAATCGTTTATTGTACAGTTAAGTGCAAAATTAAGTTACAAATTTGCTTTGAATACACTGTTGTATCTGTATCCATGTTCCCTATGATAACTGATATTTTCCATTAGGAAAGATTTAGATCATAGAATCATCATAGAAAGATTACTATATTATTAAAATGCAATCATAATGTAGAACTACCGTGCAATGTAAAACATTAATTCTGATGATGTTAACATAGAGATAAAGAGCAATTTTACTTTCTATTGGTACATTTTTAAAACTATAGTTTAATTATTTCAGTCACTCACTGTACTTAATTTACCTGGTAAATTTATTTCTTATCACATTAATCATTTTTGAATAATGCGAATTTAATCGGATGGATCCGCAAGATTTCAATTTATAGATATTGTAGCAGTATTTAGCTACCGCATAGTTGAGATGCATCTACACTTAAATGTGGAGATAGTCACTATGAATTTAATATTCTACAGTATATTAGCAAAGTAAGTATCTATATATAGCGAAACATCCAAGTCGATGCTTGCCAGTCTTGAAAACGATATTGTTTGGTGACGACAAAGTTTAGGAAATTAAATTCCATTTTCACCATCGAGATCAGTATGCCGCTTTACTTTAATAAATATATATATATATGTACCAACATTTAATCAATATGTCGTTAAAAATGGGTTGCCATAACGAGCATCGAAAAAATAATGCCCTATACGTATTGCAGTGAAAAAGTCGGTACGTCATAATTCTTGATTGAATTCAACGACTGCTATTCATTTTCAGGTATTCTCTTAGACACTTGTTAAAGCTGTCAACGCTTACCTAAGATCGATAAAATTGTGATTTAGAAATAAATGGTATAATCAATTTTTGTTAATAATAAATTTATTATACTTACATTTCCATTAGAATTCATTGCGGATGCTTGATTCAAAATATATTGAAATTCTTCATCTGATAATTTGTAACCAATGTTTGCAAAAATATCTCTGAGTTCGTCAGGTGAACGAGGTACTAAAAAGTCATTTTCGAATACACCAATGGTACTAAAGTTGGAAGGGCATATCAACCCATACGCATCAGATTCATCTCCATAATTCTGCAATAAATTAATCCAAATTATGTCAATTTAAAGATTTCATTTAAAGCGGAAAAAAGTTTTATCAACATATTAAAGATGACTAATGTCATACTCGGTATTATACAGTGCACATATTTTCAGTTGTAATATTTGTTGTACCTGTGTATCTGCTACTCGACGTACTCTTGGTGCTGGTAAATCGGATCGAATAGTTGGTACACCATATTTTCGCCAATCTATCATAAAGATTAAAAGCATAGGCAAGATTTTTATTACAAACAAAGTTGGAGTATTTAATTGTAATATTTCTTTCCAAAGACGTACCAGTAGTCGGAACTGTTCCGACAGCTGCATTAATCGCTTGAGATGATAATCTCATATCAACAACTGATTTATCAATTTGCTTTTGCAATTTAAAAACATTCTCTGGCGATGCGGAATTTTTAGCTATAGAGGAAGAAAATATGTGTATTAGTCGCTTATGCATGTATAGTTTTAAGTAAAAGTTTTAGAATATGTATATAATAGCTAGCAGCTACTACTGTAAACAAAGTTTATGATATACTGCCGTAAATATATTTGATTATGTTTTAAAGTCTTTCATTTTTAGTAACAAAGTCAAATAACTGCCGCAAGTAAAATCGTACGATGAAGCGTTGTAAAATATGTTTAGTTATATTTAAAGTCTTTAATTTTTTAATAACAAAGTCAAATAACTGCCGCAAGTAAAGTCTTGCAATGAACCGTAGTAAATATGTTTGGTTATAGTAAAATCTTCAATTAACTGCCGTAAATTAAATTATATGATGTATCGTAGTAAAGATACTTTCTAATGTTTAAAGTCTTTAATCTCAATTATAAGATCAAGCGACTGCTGTAAATTGAAATCTTATAGCGTTTCATAGTAACGATATTACTCATGTGCCACATCCTCAATTTTAGTATCAATGACTTAATTTACCTTTACTATCGATTATGGCGGTACGAGCACTAACAGCTGGTACATCATTATCTTGCCAATTTAAAAAATTAGCAAATTCATTGTAATCAATAACTCCATCATTATTAGCATCACAGTAATATATCAATTCCTCCATCAGTTCTCGCTCAATTGGAAGGTTGAATTTCATGCAGATTTCTCTCATTTCATCATTATCTATAGAACCTGATCCATCCTAGAATAGATTATTAGCGAATAAACAATAAATTCTTATAGTAACTCCAAAAAATTCGAATCCAGTTTTAATTATCATGCTATATTTAGTTTACCTTATCGTAGAAATTGAACGCTGATTTCAAACTTTCAAAATTGTAGTAATTAGAAACCTTTAATTGGCGTCGAATTGCAGCAACAACTCCACGCAGTCTATCTTTTCCTCTTAAGTAATCTTTAGGACCTCTGCCATGTAATAAATCACCAGCATCTAAACTTGTTCAGAGCCGGTTACATAGTAAGTTCATTTATTTAAAGCATTAAATTTCAGATGAAATTTTCTACCTACCGCATTCGTCTTGTTTAACGATAACTCCAAATTTATGATCTTCTGGAACCTTCATCGAATCAGAAATGCTATAGTATATTGAAAATTAAATTTTTTAGAGCTATTGTTATTTATAAATACTAATTGTTACAGTAAGTTAAGAATAATGTTGGAGTAGCTTACGGATCATGGACTTTTCCAAGTTGTGGCTGAAACTTTTCATGAAAGTCTTCAACACGGCTAGGTACAATTTTTGTTCCTTTATTACTATTTGTCATGAAACGATCATGTTCAGATATAATTAATCATTGAGTAACAAAGTAAAAAAATTTCATAAATCTAACTTACTTGTCAGTAATCCAATGTAGAGCTTTTCCAACATGAATTCCAGCATTGCTGTGAGGTGTTGGTACACCATAACATTTATTGATATTATAACTTTCATAGGTGTAGTTACGCTTCTTTTGCTCTCCAGGCTCATACGCTTCATGACTTCTAAGATAGATGTCATGATTTTGTAAACTTTCTTCTTGAACTTCTTTCGGGGACTTTTTTGGATTGACAGCATCGCTTGCATATTCGTCTACATAAAATAGTCAAAAATTAGCACTGGATAAACGATGATTAGTTACAAAAATATTGATACTGGGATTTGTTAACACTTTTCAAAAATGAATGGAATGATTTACAATTTTTGCTCAGATACCTTTAACAACTTTAATGCCAAAAGTTGTTGAGTCAGGGTCAAGATCTGATGGCATGCCTGGTTTCATTCTTGTAGTATGACCTATAAATGCATTAAATTCAATTAAGTGCTGTGGAAACTTATTACTTATATCACCTAAGAAATGGAGTCATGAATGTAGTAGCATTCAATATTTGGCAAATATACCCAGAGGTGCTGTCTTTCTACTTAAATAAGTTTGATCTTCTTTCCTGAATTGTAGTATTTGTTGAACGATAGGTTGCGGATAAGGATTAACTAGACCAGCAGCCTTGGTTTTACAAATGTATAATATAATATTGGGTATATTAGTTGGTCATAGAATGGTTATCAGTTTGAATTTATCGTAAGCTACGCGACAATCCAATTTATTTGAATCAATGTTAATAGTATTTGCGATATTAATACAGTCTAATCGTATACAAGCTTATGCGCATTCATTTTTTTCAGTCGTCATGAAATGATTATTTAAAATTTTTATTTATCACTAGTAACTAATGATCATTTTTATGATGCATTATTGCTTTGTAATTGATCGTTTCGATAGTATATAGCGTTGTGGTAATGCGAAACTGCTTATTTATTTGTTCAGAATTTGGTTATACCGATTCAGAAGATGACGTGTGTATGCCGTGATTCATCTTTTCAGCACGTTGCACCAAATCTAGTTTCGTTCTGTTGGTACGTGACTTTCCAATTTCCGGTAGTATCGCTTGACGGAAAGTTTTTATTTTTTCTGGGGTCGTAGGCTATCGTCATTGCATGATTGATTGAAAGATTAAAACATGAAGAATTATTTTTACTTATGCGTATCATTATCAGATTAAAATAGCAATATTATGGAAGTGAGTTCAAGTACTGTATGGCACTTGTTGAGAAGGTACTAAATTTTATTTTTGTTTAATTTTGGTAAATTGATTCATTTTTCGATCAATCATCTACTTGTATACGGTGTATAAAGTATGGCGATAACTCACTCGATTATCCTTTGGTATACAATCTTGGATAGTATCACCAGCTGCTACCAGTATTCCAGCCTATAAATTAATAATTTGAATGGATGATATCAGTGGAAGATTACCAATTTAGTCTTCTCGGATATAGGTCATTTCTTATAATACTATTTTAAAAGGGGCTGCATTTTTTTTTCATTGACTTAAAATGGTGTGTAAAAGATAGTCTAAATGAGCATGGTCATCCAGCTTCATCGACTTAGCGATATGCAAAAATGGAGCATGAAAACTTGATTGCAGCTTAAGAAATAGATGTTAACTTACCGGTCTAATTCCCGGTGATCGATCGTTAAATCGTCCAGTGTTGGTTAGCATGTTT